GCTGAGGGTCTATAACTATCGGGTTGTTGGGAAAGTCATGACACATTTTTGCATTGAAAAACAAAAATACATCATGACTTTCCCAATGACCCAACAGCTCAGTCAGAAGACAGGCAGACAGGGCAAGACGACAGAAGCAAACGACAGGCTTGTTGGTCTAACCAGCGAGCAACATGTTTGGGGAGTTCGGGGGGTATCTGGGTCCCCTGCCCCGCCTCTCAAATGACAGGAGGCGGACGGGATGTGCTGCCCACACGGACTCTCAGGCCCCACCCTGGCCCTTTTACAAGATGCCCAGGATCCAATGTGAGAAAGTTCCGGAAGCTTGGCCGTCTCGGGTCTTTGCTCTACATTTATTTGATTCTATGAAGAGAAGCTCTTAAGAGGCTATAAAGGGACCAGCCGAGCAAGCGAGCATGTCATGAATGTTGATTGAGCACCTCTGCTTATCCCAGGCGTGTCGGGGCCAGTGCAGGCGGGGGTGTCGGGGGACCACTTTACCGGCCACGTTAAACAGCCAGCACTGCAGACTGCCTCTCATACCTCCCGGCAGAAATGTATTAACGCACAAAGCTCATCAGTCCTGCATTTTCTCATTATCTTTGCTCAACACAGGTGACCGTGTGGGTCTGCAACCAGCCCAGGCAGGAGGCTGACGCCCCAGTTAGCGGATGCTAAGAACCAGCCCCCCTCGTCCCCTCCCCCACGATGGCTGAGCACGTGCCAACATGGGACTCGCAGCGAGAGGTCTCACCTGTAGCAGCCGTCTCTGCTCCCGGGGGCGTGGGCGGCAGGCCCGTGTTTCACAGGAAGCTGGCCGTCAGGCCGGTTCACGGCAGCACAGCCCTCCCAGCCCTCCTGCTGGTTCCCACATGTGGCCTGGCCAGTAAACACGAGGGAACTTTCTGGAAAGAGGTTAGCCTTCTCAGGCTCCCCGGGAAGGTGGAGCGGAGGCAGAAGCCAGGGCCGCTCCCAGGCCGAGAGGCACACAGCTTGGCCCCGGGGCTGCCATGCAGGGCAGTGGGGCCCTCCTCCCTAGGACCGTGTGCGTCTCAGAGGTGGGCACCTAGTCCTCCCGTGCGTGCCGGCCCGGCTGCAATGTCCTGGGCACCTGCACCCCAGCAGCCGTGAGTGCCGGAGTGCCTCCCCAAATTGCTGACGCTGTGCGAGTCCACACCCTCTCCTGGGCTCTGTCCTTGCTCTGAGCACATCCACATTCTACGTTTAAAACCAGACTCAAAATTCACCTGTCATCAGGCCCATCCTCAGCCCCCAGCCTGCTGTCCTGTGCTGCGGCCAAAGCGGGTGTGATCAGAATTACAGGATGGAGCCCGGTGGCCGTGTGCCCCCGAGGGGGCTGCCTTTCTCACTTGGACGTGATCTGGAGGGTCAGACCCACCCGGCAGCAGCTGCAAGGCCTGGGAGACAGGGCACGGTGACAGTGGACGGCCCTGCCCGCTGTGCGATGACTACGTCTGTCTCTCCCATAGGCCTTCTCAGAGGCAGGTCGGCCTCGCTCACGGCTGCACCAGATAAATATTCGTTAACTGTATGAACGAACAAGCAATCCTCCCTAATCGCTGCCAACACTGTATGTGAAATCTGAACTTACAGCAGTTTTGAAGACTTGGAATTAAGTGACAATGAATGTCCTGATACAGGACCCCCTCAGCCCCAAGCAGGGTGACAGGGGTCACAGGAGAGGGTCAGGTCCTCAGGCTGCAGGAAGCAGTCTCGGCCAGACCAGAGTGGATGGTCCCCCGCACCCCCAACCCCCAGCCACTGCTGGCTGGAGGGCTCACCGCTGTCCAGTGACATGAAATTCAGTAATTAATTGGAAGTCAGAGCCGAAACTGCCGAGTGGTGGCATCAGTCTGTCCTCTGAATGTGGCTGCACTTTGTCACCCAAGGCTACCCCCCAGCAGGTGGCTGTGCCTGGGTGTCAGCTGCTCCGCCTTTCTCAACGTCCATGTAGACAGGTGGCTGGGCACCACAGCCGCCTCACACAGGATGTGTCCCCCACACGCGGGCCCGAGTGGGGACGGGGTTGGGCAAGTCTGGGCACGTCCGCACCCCTGGGGACCTTTACACTCCCGCTTATGGGTGCTCCTCACCGCTGTCCAGCGTGCCGTGCCCAGAGCCGGGTGTCGCCTGGGGGGGCCCGTGGAGCAAAGCACTCGGCCCTGGCCATGCCTACCTCCCTTCCGAGGGGACCTGCGGGCGCTGTGCTGCCCGTGGCTCTTTGCAGGGCCAGGCCCAGCTGGGCAGTCTCCAGGAGGCCACTTGCTGTCTCCTCACCCCAGAGGACAGCAGCAGCTGGCCTCGAGTCTCCATTCCCCTTCTCAGCAATGATGCTTGTGGGCACAGAGCTGGGCAGCAGGCCAAAAATGCAACTGGACAGGACCTGCCTCCGGGCATCTATGCACTGCCCGGTGTGCCGGGGCGGGGATGCATCTGCCCGCGCTCAGTGAGTGTACGGGGAGCCGGGCATGTCGTCTGCAGCCGAGACCATCCGTAGAGGAGAGGCAGGTCTGCCAGGCCACGCGGAGTCCTGACGCGCCCTGGGTGGCACATACCCCCACCGCCATGCTCAGACTTCGGGGCTGCCTGCGCCTCTGCAGGGCTAACGGGGCACATTGGGTGGCCACCAGGATAGGCGTTTGCCCAGGCACCGCCAGCTGGGTGGGTCCTGACCCTGGGTCAGTCCTGACCTTGATCCCCAGGTGGATCTCCCCACAACACAAACAAGAAGGCAGGACGCCCTTTCTGAGCTCCCTTCTCAAATCTGGACTTTTCCTGGATCACCGTCGTCTCTGGGGAAATGGGCAAGTCAGGAGGCAGCTGCGAAATATTCCGGAACACGTTCACCCCCTAGAGCAGCGGTTCTCAACCTGTGGGTTGTGGCCCCTTTGGGGGTCGAACGACCCTTTCACAGGGGTCGCCTAAGACCATCGGAAAACAAAAAGATATTTACATTACGATTCATAACAGTAGCAAAATTACAGTTATAGAGTAGCAACGAAAATAATGTTATGGTTGGGGGTCACCACAACATGAGGGACTGTATTAAGGGGTCGCGGCATCAGGAAGGTGGAGAACCGCTGCCCTAGTGGTCCGTCCCCTCACAACCTCGCCCCACCTGAGAGAACGTGCCACGTCAGCCACGCTGCTGGGTCCCCTCAGAATCGAAGGCCTGACCCCCAGAGCCTCTCGCTTCCACGCGGATCATTTCTTCCGGCTGGGGGTGGGGCCGGGGGCTGCAGTGCGTCAGCGGTCAGGGGCCTCGGCGAATGGAGTGAGTTGGGGACCCGTCACTCCCAGAGTGGGGGTGTGCGTGCATGAGTGTGCTGCAGGCGAAGCCTGATGGCCGATCGCAATGTCACGGTCACCGTTAACAGTGACAGCGCATGACCGGCATGAACCATTAGAACCTCACGCCGAGCACGTCTGCTTCTTTTGTCAGGACCTGGACGCACAGAACCAGGACAGCTGCTGGCTCAGCTCTGCTCCCGAGCACCCCCCATGCCTGCCCCACGTGTCACCTCGTTTCATGTCATTTAATCCGTAAACCGTTACTGAGTCCATTTTGAGGACCAGGGAACTTAGGCATCAGGTGTGAGGATGTGCTCCATGTCATCCGGCTGAAAAAGGGCCGAGTGGGAACTGGACCTGCTGCTTCCCAACGTCACTGCGATGTCACCTCTGGTGGCGCTCACATGGCTGGTGCTCGCTGGGGCGCGGCACCTACACCCAGTTAACGCGGAAAGCAGCCACTCTTCCCAGCATGGCGGGGTCTTGTCCCCTCTCCTTCAGTGACTGGAAACCTGCCCCAGGGGAACCAAGTGACAGGTGGGAGGACCCGTGATGAGCGAGGCTCAGTGCCTGCAGCGGCCGCTGTGCTCGCCGGTGACCCTGGGGTTTAACTTGCCAGACACACAATGAAAACAGAACAGACTTCGCCTGCAGGTTGGGGACAGGCGTCCCCAATGCGGAAACGCTGGAGGCGCGTGAATGTCAGTTAGCTGCAGCATCGCGACTCCGGGAGCCGGACTCACTACACGTGGCAGTTCTGAAAAACACCTTCGAGCAGCAGCTTGCACCCTCACCCTGTGCCACAGGGTTTGCTGAGCTCCTCCCAGGAAGGCGCTTCGTCAGACAGGCCCCGAAGGGTGGGGACAGGCACAGCCTGGGGCCTGTCACAGCGAGCCCCCCACCTGGCCATGCAGCGTGGCACTAGAACCGCCGGTCCCACCACCTCCTTCCCCCACGTCAGAGGAGTTCCCTGAATGACGCGCTCTGGGAGGCTTTATGGTCTTATCAGTCGAGGGGAGAGTCCCTCTCCTGTCCCAGGGGACACGACGCTTAGCGACAAATGCCACTGGGCAGGAGAGCAGCCCAAGCTGCTTGGAGAAGTGGCCTCCCGCTGCTGCCACGGTGGAGCGTGGCCTGGTGGTCACCCCCCGCGCACTGACACCCCGCCCGGCGCGCCCTGGACGCTGGGCTCCTTTGCCCACAGCCCGAAGCCCAGCAGAAGTCACGGAGGAAGCAGCTTCCCGCCACCAGCCCAGAGGTCTCAGGACAACGGGACGCGGAGAGAGGCCGCCACGTGCTGGTTTCGTTGTCACATGTGACGAGCCCTATTCTGCAAAGTGCCAGCGAGGAGTGCTGACGGTCGGCCTGGTCTTGTGCCCGCAGGTCCTCAGAGTTGGTTCCCATAAATCCAACCATTAGAGGCAACCGCGAGGCTCTGCATTCTTAGCGCTGCAACTCAAGCTTCTGAAAACTCCCCCCACGACCAGAGGCTGCAGCCATGGGGCCACTGAGGAGCACAAGGCAGGCACCGAGCTCGCTGCTTAAACCTGAGGCCGGGCAGTTTGCCTGGAACCTTCCAGCACATCGAGGCCCGTCTGTGACAGGGATGTGCTTGGGCGGCTCACCCAGCCCATGCGAGCGCTCAGGGCGTGAGCTGGGCCCCCCCGGAGGGATGCACTGGACAGGAGAGCTTACAAAAAGGATATTTATTAAATGAAAGAAAAAGCTGTTGGTGGGTCAAATAAGAAATAGATATACAAAACTTTACATCAGATCTCTCTACAGAGCAGACGGCCAGGCTGTGTGGAGCGGACCCTGTGCTGGAACCTGGTCACCAGCAGAGCCCCGGGGACCCGGGGACAGCGGGTCGCCCATCCACACGATGCCCTGCGTCACCTGGAAACGCTCTCGCATCCTGGTGGCTTTGGCTCTGAGAAGGCAGAAGACGCCGGGCCTCTCCTACACGGCCGTGTGGTGCTGGGCGGGCGCCCCAGCCTTCACCCTGCGCTGTGCCTGCCACTAGAGGGCACCCCACGGCGGCGAACCGCCGGCCCGGCTGCACTGTGGAGCTGCCGGTCTCGGGTGTGGTGCACTACTTCCCCATCCTTCCCGTGTAAAGCTTCTAAAAACACCTACTTCTGCAAAATACCGTTTCTGTATGTGGAACTTTGCAAATACACACGTCCTTTTGGAGAAAAGAAAACCCGTCGCGGGCCGGCAAGGGAGCAAGGCGGCACCGTTCGCCCGGCGGCGACGTGCAGGTCACATGAGGTCGAGCTCCGCCTCGAGCGCCGCGGCCATCTCGTCCGCCTCCGAGCTGCTGCCCTCGTCCTCGCCGCTGGAGCCCCGGCTGGACTCGCTGGCGGCGTCCTCCTCGTGTAGCTTCCTCTTGTGGCCTCTGGAAGACAAGCACCTCGCGGTGAGACGCCCCGGCGCGCGCGGCTCGGCTGTCGTCCAGCCGCTCGCAGAGAGGCCTCCACAGCCTCCACACGGTTCCGGGGTCGGGACACACGCTCCCTCTGCTCCCCTCACCACCAGGCTCTGCGTTTCGAAGGACCGAGAGGTGGGGATGGCGGAAGCCCAGCACGGCTGCTGGGGAAACACTGGCAGTCACGAGACCACAACAGAGGACCTGCTGCGGGCAGACAGGACAACACCTCTGTCACCAGTGGGCGAGAGGGGGGAAGGGGGCGAAAGGACAGGACGCCCCAGGGTCACCGAGCTCTCGGGCCTTGGCCGGCCTCCCGGAGCCAGGCCAGGACAGGGCTGAGGGCACTCCACTGTCCTCTCAGGTCCTCAGGCCACCGATGAACAGTGGCCACAGCACGAGGACGACACAAGAATGACGGGGGCTCTTTCCAGCGTCCGGCGCCCTCCCTGCCCCCACCCAGGGCTCTGAGGCTCGGGAGCCCGGCGCAGCCCCATGGACGCTGCCTGACGCCTCGCCAGCCCTCAGAACAGGCTCCGCGACGCTGGGGAAACGTCCCAGCTGGGCTGGGCTGACCATGTGGGGCTGAAACGGACACGTGGGCAGCCAGGCGACCTGGGACTGAAACCAGACGCCGCCGCCGTCCCCAAATCTCGTGAAAGCAAAGGAGCCTTCCCAACAGTCGACTCGTTTCGTCTGTGCGCAGACAATCTCGTAAAACAGAAACACGGCAGGGTGCCAACCCCCATGCTCTGCTCAGCCCGAGCCCTGTGCCCACAGGAGGGCAGAGCCTGCAGTCCAGCCAGTCCTTTCTGCATCTTTGAAAAACCTTCGAGTTTCTTTTTGTTTGATGAGAACGCGCTATGAGGTTAAGAAATGCATAACCAGAGCACGCTACAAACCAGTGAGCAGGCACCTCATGTGAGGGGCACCCAGCCAGTCAAGCAACCCAGAGGCTCAGAGCCGCTCGCTCCTCAGCTCCCAGCCCCGGAGACCCCACGGGGGCCCTCAGAGAGGGGGACACGGCAAGTAAAGTGATCGTGTGTGGCCTGTCAGCACCCAACACAGATTCAAAGTTGCGTCCTGACAGTGAGTGTCCCCCAAGGCTGGCAAGCTCTGCTTCCTAACTGCTCAGCACAGGGGCTGCCCCCAGGAACTGCGTGTTTCTTGCAAAGCAGCAAACCCATTTACTTTCTCGGAGAAATTCTTGCAAACAGAACAGTGACCAACTACGTCTGCATCTGTCGCTGGAATTTCTGGCCCAACCCTGTTTTTGTCAGAGAGGCGTAAGCCACACGCTGGTCTGCTCCCCCGCAGCTGCGGAGGGGCTCTGCACGCAGCGCCCCAAATGGATTCGGACGGGGTCTGGGCGAACCTGCATCACAGTGGTGCTGCCGTGGAAGCACGAGGGGTCACCACGGCCGAGCACGCATCAGCCCAGGGAGGGCTCCCGCCAAGGCCTGGGGCTGCGCCTGCACGTGCTATATGCCCACGGTCAACACACAGGAGCAGAAGCCTCCAGACAGGCCCGGACTGAGGGGTGGAGCTCACCACGCAGCCTGGGGTGCTGTCTGGGTCCCAACCTGTACGCGGTCAGCACTCACAACACACACAAAGCACCTTATGAAGGACCGACATCTGCCGGAGTCGGAGTCATAATTAAAATCGTACAAATCGTGATAAGAATCCACGCCACCACGAATGTAATATTCTGAAAATGTTTAAGTCTGAAGACTCTGCAGGTGATTTAAATGTTTCAGAAAGCAGAAGAAAGTGACCTCTGCCCTCTCAGGGTCACCTGCACAGACGTCTGTAGGTCTCGCCCCGGCCGCTACTGCTGGTGCAGCGACCCAGCAACACGGTGTGTTTGAGAGCCGTGTGGAGACCTGGCTAGGGGAGCGAGTGGGCGTGATGTCAGGACTGGACGGAAGGTGCCCGCCACCCCAGGGCAGCCTGTGGGCCTGGGCCCGCCCTCCGTGGGCGCTCGCCTGCCCGCACTCCCCTGGGGCCCGCCCTCACCTGAGGCCCCGGCCATCCGCCACGCTCCTTCCGCCGGGCGGCTTCAACTCGAGTGCGTGCTGCCTCTGGGCCCCTGGGGTCTTGGGCTCCCTGGGCTGAGGTCCCTTGTCCTCTCGCTCCTCGGGCTTCTTCTTCTCGCTGTCGCTGTCGTCGCTGCCTTCTCCTAGGATGTCATCCACCTGCCAAAGGGCGAGAGTCGGTGCTCACACAGCAGCCCCTCCTGGGGGGAGTGACAATGCCGCCGGCATGACCCGTGGACCCCGCCCCCGTTAGCGAGCACACACACGGTCCAGCACAGCTTCCGCGGGGATGCGCGTTCACGTCCAGCGCTGGGCTGCGGCTGGACAACCAGTAACAGCGCTGAGGCTCACAGGGTGGGTAACAGGGAGATAGGCCCTGGCCGTCCCACCTTCTGTGGGGTCCTGCACCCCAGGCCAGCATGGAACCTAACGGAGATCCTAGCTCTAGCCGGCCAGCACCCTGTACAGCGAATGGTGGGGCCTCCCTGAGGAGTGCGCAAGGCCAATGAGTCAACCCCAAGTCTGGGAGGGGCGCCCGCTAGAGGGGGCCTGTGTTTGGTCCTGACGACCTCAGGCCCCATCATTTCGGGAAGTGCCCAGTGAGGGCACCAGGAGCACAGTCGTGGGGAGGAGGTCAGCGGGGCGGCAGGGAGAGACGGGGCAGAGGCCGGCGGGGCGGCCCTCCCTCTGCTCTCTCTCCAGGACGTCAGCTTGAGCAGGCGGCATTGGGCTGTCGTCACCCCAGAGGCCACGGTTGGGGGGCTTGGCATGCAGAGCAGGGAGGGTGAGCCGGACCCCTGCACCACTCACGCACATGCACATGCGGGAGACGAGGAGTGAGGCCCCCTCGGCCGCAGAGCCCGCCTGCCAACACAGCCCCGCTCCCAACGCCCGTTCACGGCCATCGTCACTGGGGAGAGTGGACAGGAGCCAGGTCTCGACTGGGTCCTGCCTTTTGCCTGCTTGACCCTGGGGAAGGCTGCTGTGTGTGCTCAGCTCATGAGAACCCTGACTTCTTCCGGCGGAGCCCCGAGACAGGGAGGCCCCAGGACCTCCTCGCCAAGCTGGACCCTGCAGCCCTCCCCGCCTGCCCCGGGGGCTCTCTGGGCAACCAGGCCACCGCCTGCAGTGCCTGGAAGCCTAGAGCTTCCCTGAGTGCCGTGGGGCTGCGACAGGCTGCACGGGCGCAGTGACACCACTGAGGCACCTGGAACAGGACAGTTGAAAACTCTGCTGGAAGAGTATCCGGCCAGAGCAGCTCTGACCAGAAACCAGCGGTCACACCCAAGGAGCTCATGCTGACGTCAACTCCTTCAGGTCCTCGGCCTCCAGCAGCAAACAGACCGACAATAGACGCAAACAGCAAGGACCCTGAGCTCACAGGTTAAAATGGAGAAACATTTTGATCAACAGTTAATTACATGAAGCGGTGACTTTATCCTCAGGTCACTACAAGATCCTTAAATGTCACACACCGTACCAGCTCGCTGTTCAGCTAAAGGCACCTGGTTAACTCTGAGAAGCCACTGACACATTCAGGGGGCATATTTATTCTATTGGTTGTCGGGAAATTCATGACGTATTTTTTTCTATGTTTTTTGTTGCAAAAATGTGTCATGACTTTTCCGACAACTCAACACTTTGATAAGCAAACCTCCTACTAGAATCCTACTATTAAGTCTTGCTCTGGAATACGTACGGCCTTTAACTCTGCATCGTGCCTTTCCGAGAGAAAAAGGAATTTAAAAACCAGGTATTTTAAATGTGACTGCCAAGTGCACAATCTCGGGGGCTCACAAGTTGGGACGTGCCCTCTGGCCGTCGGCACCCGGCGTCTGGCGGATAGCTACCGCGCCTGCGTGCGGCTCTGCCAGCTGTGGGCAAGACGCTGGCGGGCGACTGAGCAGCCATGCTCCAGCCACGGCGGCACACGGATACCTGAGCTTGTGCCGCCATCTGCCTCCCTCATCCTGTTTTACGCACGTAAGTGTGCCGGGGCTCCCTTCACAAACCCTAAGGTAAATATTTTTAAATCTTAAGGAAAAACCTAAAACCAAGTACGTGAAGAGAAAAACAAAATTCACCTGTTACTGAATTAAGTGCCGAATCTCCCAAACAACAGTGCTACTGGACGTCTCACCATCAACCTAGAAGGTGCAGGACCACAGACAACCAGTGACACTTGGGCTGCGGTGACACAGGGCAGGCCCAGCGGGCACCGCACGCCCCTCCAGGCCCCACTTGAGTCCCCGGTCCTCGCACTTCTGTCTTCCCGTCACTCCCTCACTTAATCAGAACCCATAAGGAGAGGGGACCCGGCACGTGGGTAGAGTCCCCGCCGGGCCTCGCAGACAATTAACCCATTGTAAACACGGGTGAGGGGAGAGGGAAAAACCCTAAATCTCGGTGACTCCGGGATAGCTGTGAGTGGGGTGGAGAGTGACGTAAGCAGGTGAACGACCGCCATAGGTGAATGGGCACAGCGGCTCCCTCACAGGCCACCGTCCAGATGCCAAGTATGTGAACTGCGTGCTCCAGCCTCGGAAGGGACGGGTAAGCCCTAGCGCCACCAGCACAGACGTGTTTCTCTCCTTGGCCAGAAGAACACACACCCTGGTCATTCTCGCTAACACACTGCATTCGGTGAACAAAACCGGAAGCATCTGGACACACGGGAAGTCACTCTCTTGAGATGTGCAGAGAATGGAACAGAGGGGGTGGTGAGCAGCCTGTGCGGTCTGCCCAAGTTCATCTCAGTCTTTAAATCAAGCAGGCCACCGCCAGCAAAGGCCTGGGAGGTGGCAGTGGGACAAGGCCCGCCCTCTCCCTCGGCCCAAGCTGTCAATCAGAAGACAGCCTCGGAGGCCAGGTCTCAGCTGAGCTGTCCGCTCCCAGCAACTCCCTGCCTGGACTGCTGCTGCGGGCCCTGTTCGTCTGCTGGCTGACCTGGCAGAGTCCACAGGGACAGGCACCCTGGGAAATGAGGAATGAATTACAACACGTGTCCCCATCCCATCAGCATAATATTAACACGCTACTCTTGCGTATCATCTTCAGTCAACTGTTTCCTAGAGGTCAGTATGTGCTAATTATCTTAAGGTCCCTCGAAGTTCATGCAGTTAATTACACCAAGTGGTGGCTACCTACTTCCTAAAACACACACGTGTTAAGACACAGAATTGTCTATAACTGCTCTTTTTTGGGGGGGAACCACCCACACAGATGCCCGAGTCTCACAACTCTGCTGGCTGGTCCATGAACACCTCAGAAAATGATAAACCATCAAATTCAAGTTCACAGCCAGCTAAAGGTGGGTCAACAAAGAGACAGAACGAGGAGCAAAAGTGGCATTGATTTCTAACGAACCGCCAGTGAAAGAAAGACGACACGGTGTGGGGGCAGAAGTGGAGGGCCAGCCGCGGCAGCTCACGGGCAAGCACCCAGGACACACGTGTGTGTGCACATGTGCAAACAGGCCGGAAAGGCCCAGGTGGAGCAGGGCACGCCGCAGCTGGGAACCCACCAAGGACAAACTGCCAGCGTGCCCTGCGGTGAGGGGTGGGGATGAGGGCACACTGCCTACCCCCAGGACTCCGCTCCCCGGGCCGGCCTCCTGCCAGCTGCACCCCCTACAGCCCACACATCCGCCCCCAAGCCTGCTTATCAGCCTCTGTGCAAGCCCGGAGGCTCCTTTCACACTTCCCAGGGTGTAGGAGACCCGTAATGCTCACCACCCTCCAGGAAGGAGACCTTCCGAAAACCACACGTGGAGGGGAAGACGGCTTTAAACCTGAGACTCAGACTCGGGCGAAGGGCCGTGAGGGCCGGCGTTAAAAACCGTACCTGTGAACACAAACTGAAACGCCGGCACGGACGTGTGGCATCCGCCTCCCGCCGTCCTGAAAGCTGCTTGCTGGGCAGCTGTGAGAAGAACCTGCTTCATGGCAACGTTCCGGGGCCGGTGGGGACCACGCTGTGTTCAGAATACAGTCGTGACAGGCGGCCCTGGCCGCCACGCACCACAGACTCACTGGCAGGACGGGAAAGGAGCTCTGAAGACCTCGCGTACGCCAGCCCCTTGGTGCACTGTGGCCCTCTGGGTCCCCAGTACCGCGAGACTGCCTAGAGTGCTGATAAAACAGCAAGACCTTGCCCACGGAGAGACACCGGTGCAGGCGTTTTGTGGCCTCTTGGGGCCAGGTGACAACCTTAGGGCACTTTGGTGAATTGCACTAAACTGCCCTTTCACTCACCAGATGGCAAACGTACGCCCCACTTTCTCTGACACGTTAACATGTGCAGACAGGAAATGAGGCATGAGCTTGCTATGTTCACGGACATGCTTACAAACAAGCAAGTGTCGGCACTATGAAACAAAGTCCACAGTTACACACGACAGAAGCCCGATGTGCAGGACGGACAGCCGCCACCGCATGTGACACGTGGGCTGGGCGGTGCCCTCACCACCGACGTTGGAGCCCTGCAAACACCGAGGGCACTCCCGACCTTCTGCTGGGCAAAAAGCTGTTTCTGTGTGAACCCAATCCACAAAGTGTAACTGTGTGCCCCAACGCGACTAAAAACAAACAGGCGATCACACTACGTGCATATACGTTTATAACTCGTTACAAAATGCACACAGAGACCCTCTCAGACCTGGGTTTGCAATGCGGGTCTACAAAGCTGGCATGTCGCCTGGTGTGCGAGGACAAGTGGCTTAACACATGCGCACTCTGGGGTAGCCGTGGAACCCCTAGACACCAGTGAGATGTGTTTCCTGGTGAGCAGCTGAGCTGTGTTTAAAGAGAGGGCTCTGGCAGCAGAACAAAGAGGGGACGGAAATGACGGGACCAGGGCTGCTGGGGGGCTGGAGGGGTGTCTGGTCCTGGAGACGCCAGCTGTGGTCTTGATCATTTCCAGCAGGTGAGGACACAGTAAACCTATCTCCTGTCAACACTGGTCACAGCATGTCTGAAGACCCCCTCTGGTGGATTAAAATACAACTACAACAGGCTGGTAGTCACGGGGCACAGGCGAGCGAGCTCACAGTTCACAATCATCTCTTCTGGGACTCCCCAGTTACTGAGTGAGTAAAGGGCGCTGCCAGTCACGGTATAAAACTAGCCCAGGTGATGGGGGAAGATTTCATGATTCCTAAAACGTATGTGTATTTGAAATCAATGTTTTTGGCAGAGAGCCCACTGAAGGAACTCATGCAAAAACCGTTTTGTCATTTGACGAAACCATCACTGGCTGATAAATCAAGCCTGGACGTGCCCGAAGCAGCCCATCGGAGTGAATTCTCCAAAGGATGCAAACTACAGAAAGCAGAACGGAGCTGAGAAAGCCATCTATCCTGAAGCACCTCCAAGGGACACGAAGACCCTCCCCGTATCAGACAGAAGAGCCTTGGACGCTCTAGCGGACACAGCAGCTCTCGGACAGCGGGCCCATTTCCGCGCTTCTTCCGAGTGGAGCTTTCCTCTCCACCCTCGGGGGCGAGCAGGACGGAGCCTTGAGAGGCTGTGCTGTGAAGGGCGAGCAGAGGACAGCGACCTGCTTACTTGCCCTCCGTGCAGCCACCTTTCTGAACCCGCTGCTGGCGTTGAGCAGAGCCCCTTGGGGACTCGGGAAGCGGAAGGGACCTCGAGGTCTCGCAGGGCAGGGGCCGAGCACCGGCGCCACGCATGTCTCCTCGTGGTTAGGATGGAGTTGTGCTGTGCGGGGCCTGAGGCCGGTGCGTCAGGAAAAGGCAGCAAGCCCACCGTGCCGCCCCGGGACCCGCACAAACAGCCCCTCGCGGGGGGCACAATCTGAGGGACCCGGCGAGCCCGCAGCTGCCCCCCTCACCACGAGCAGCCAAGTGTACCCTTCAGTGACGCCAGAAGGCCCAGCCCAGGTGCAGCCCGCTCCTAGCAGCCGAGGGCACGGGGCCGGCGTGCTTTACTAAGTTTTAAGGGAGAGAAAACATCTCTCCTCTCAGCTGCTTGGGGCGACTCCATGGGGACTGTTCATGTCATGAAGCCGTGGGGACGGCAGCCCAGGCCAGCACCGCACGTCATGCCATGGAGAAAAGGTGTGAACGCCCCCCAGAGCCCAGCAACCCAGGAGGGGTGGGCCGGTCAGCTCCGCTAAGGTGGCACACACTGACCGCAGCCCCATTTTCCGGCTTGCCCGCCGCCCACACACACGAGCAGGTTCTTGCTGGGACCCAAACAGAAGCCGAGCCTCCCGGCACCCTCCATTTGTGACACAACAGCCCCAGGGTTCCCTGGGGTGGCGCCCGGGACGGCTCTCGCCTTCAATTCCTCTTGTTCCTGAAAGCAGCATCTTATTTTAAGGCTAATTTTTATTTCTGTAAGAAAGTTAGATTTCAGAGTGAGAGTCACGTTTAACACTCTCATTTGACATTTAAAATTTCAATCCCTCTAATAGGGTACAAACAAGAGCCCAAAATGTCATCACGACCTGACAAACTAGACAGGGTGTCTGCACGGTCACAGCAGTCAAGTCGCCCCGTAACGGGCCTGGGGAATGGACGGTGGCCAGGAGGAGAGCAGTGAGGGCCCCAGGGGTCCTCTCCCCACAGCCCCTCCTGGGTGGGTGGCGTTCCCCAGAAGACACCCCCTGCCTAGGCCTGGGCACAGAGAAGACATTTTTATGAAATGTACTAGCTAAGCGTCCATCAGGCAGAAGGGGGCCAGCCAGCAGAGGGACCACCCAGCTCATTCGAAACGGTTTAATCATCACAAGACAGACAAACTACCGTCTGCTGCTAATCTGAGGTTCTGGTCAGACTACACTGAATCCAGCCATTTACACTTTCCTGCTGGTGTTAAAAATAAACTTAAATACTGCCTTCCTCCTAAGCGTTTTCCCAGCATTCCCAGTGAGCACCGTGCCTTCTGCTGGCAGGTCCGTGTGCGGAGCGGGTGAGCGCTGCGGCTGGCGATGTCGCTAAGGTGAAGGGGGAGGGGCAGCTCCAGTCTCACAGGAGCCTGGTGGCGCTCTGAGCACCGCTGGTTACTTTCTCGGCGCTGGCCATTCGGTCAGCAGCCACCCAGGAACGACAGTGTGCTAACCACCTACAAACCTAGGGGCCTGGCCCATGACAGGAGGTGGGGACATAGGGACCAGGAGGGGCCCCTGGGACGCAGGGAACATGGGGCCGAGGACAGGCTGGGGTGACAGCTTCTGTTGTTTTGATGACCGGTGCAGCAGGGACACCACAGGAAAGCACGCTGTCATCGGTGTGTGCTTCAACTCCGCGATCCCCCAAGCAGGTGGACACCGGACGGCCACCTGGCACCGCCAACGCCGTGGGCCATCCTGGGCACTGCCAGCCGCCTAGCAGCATCCCTGGCCCCCACCCACGTGATGTCGGGAGCACCCCCTTTGAATGACAACCCCAGACGCTGTCATGCGCCCTTGGGGCGGGGCAGGGCAGGGAGTGGGAGAGGCGGGGAGGGCCGCAGCGGGAGTCACAAAGCTGAATAAGTGTACTTACAGCCAAATGTTGTGACACCCTGCTACGCCGCTTGATACTGTGGCCAGTCTCGTGTAACAGAAGCAAAAGTGCTAGTCCCGAGCACGCAGGCGCCACGAGCACGATTTCGGGCCCGCTGTGCGCCGGGTCCTGGTGGGGCTGGCCGCCAGGGTGACGGTGCCGCCGAGGGCACCGGCCTGCGGCCGCGGGGCTCACCTCTTTGTCCATACTCTCTAAGTCCTCCTTACACAGAGTGTACAGCGGCAGTGTCTCTGACATGCTGGGCTGTCGCTTTCTTCTAGAAGGACCAGGCTGCTCGCCATCTGGGTTATCTGGCCACTCTTCACCAAACTGCTGCTGATGCGGCTCAACGGCTCTGAAATGAACATTTCAGGTCCCACATGAGGAAGGTCAGTTTGAATTTACCTTTCCGGTCCTGAATCAGACTCCTGGCTCTTGGAACAGGCAAACAAACACATACACACAACCAGCGCACACTTCAGTTACAGAAACACGCGGGCTCGTCTGCTCGCTAACTCGGGTCTGCTGGCTGAACCGGGCTGAGGGACAAGCACGCTGGTTTCCTTCGGGTCAAAGCCGACACCTGGCTTCTAGCGACAAACTGCCACTGTTCACAGACATCCGTGTGGCTTGACTCAATTAGAACAAAGGGCCAATGTGAAGAGAGAGGATGGAAAGTTTCCTGGAAACTGGCAGGAAGGGTTACTGATCCTCAAAACCAGGTCAAGCAGGCCACAAGATCAGAAAAACAAAACTATTTCTATACTATCCAGGCTATAAAAACAGAAAATGGAACGGTGAGTTTAAGTAACAGATGGACCTGAGCGGAAGTTAAAGGACAGGGAAAGGTCATTCAGAATCATGTGCCCACTGTTTGGCTAAGCTGTTAACTGTTACTCTAGTAAACCCACTAGGAAAGACGGAGGACGCTTGCGCCCAGAGCCAACACCACTCACATGACAATTTTTCGATTACATTACAACTGCACTTCCATTTGAAACAGTTCCTTAAGCATCCCTGTACATAAACACTTTCACCTCAACGTGTCAGATCTCACGCACACACTTTCACGGATGCTACGACCGTCGGAATTACAGGGACTCGTGCAGGCTACTCGGTACACTCTCCTCCGAGAGGCCGTCTGTGGAGCTGGCTGCTCTGTGCGGTTGGGAACCGGGCGAGGAAACCTCCAGCCTCACTGCCGTCACCGACCACGAGCCCACTCACTAAGACACTGACCATGTCACAGTAAACATGCATTATTTTGAAGAAAAATGAGGGGATTAAGTCTAAACCACAAAATTAAGGAGCAAATGTATTAAGCTAACCACATAGCTAACGAAGGAAAGTTTTTTTTAACCTGGAAACATTAAAGGCTATCTAAAAAACGCTGATCTCTGCTTATTCACCAGTCAGACTAGAGTGGACCCTTGAAGAACACGGGCTGGAGCTGCATGGGTCCACCTGGACGTGAGCTTTCTGTTTCTGATGTGCAGTTGGGAGTCCGTGGCTATGGGGGGCTGCACTGATCTGCACCATTCTCTGTGGGGATTTGAGCACCCCGCATGTTGGTACCTGCGGGGGTCCTAGAACCCCGTGGGTGCCCAGGGACAACTTAAAGTTTTTGGGCAGTCAAGTTACACGTGGATTTTTGACTGCACAGGGGTTGGTGCCCCTAACCAACCCCCGTGCTGTTCAAGGCTCAGCGCCCTGAAGTGCTAACAGCTCCAGCACCTCACTTTCCGTTTTCCGATGTGGACATAGGACACACTTCAGTTCACACCTGCTGACCATCAGCTCCAAATACCTAAAGCTCCAGTTGTCTGAATATAAATATGAAAAAGCGGCAAAAACAAATATATACTCCCTCACCAACAGAGTGGTTTCCTAGTTCTAACAAACACACGAGATGTGAGGCCAAGCACATCTGTCTTCGGAAGCTCCCAGGAGGCCCCGGGACCTCCGGCTGCGTGGAGCCCGGTCTGTGGCCCAGCAGCTCCAGTGACCACAGCTGGGCTGGCTTCATGGGCACGAGTGCTGGAAAAGGCACGACGCCCTTCATCTTGTGAGACCTTGTGACTCGGTCACCAATCCGAGGGTTCCCGAGACCCCTCAGGGCGCCTACAAGACGCCCCTTAGCCTTTGCCATACTGGGGGCGCACCTGCACCAAGCAGATCTCAGCAGACTGACACCGGTGGGGAGGACCGCTGTCGTTGCTAAGCCGCAGAGGTTTGCAAAGTGCAAACAAGTTACTTTTCTCACTGTGTTTCTTTTCGGTTCAGGAAAGTTATTTTTCATTTAACAAGTGTTACTGTATTAACATGTAATGTTTCACTGTTACTTAAAAATGAACGAATGAATAGTTTAAAGATGTCTCACTTCTAACTTCTCACATCATAGGTAGGACCTGTGCTCACTGTGCTTCTGGGGAGGCGATTTCCCTCCCCCGCCCCCCCCCCCACCTGAACCCGAGACCCTGACAGACACACACGGAGGGCTGGATGGTGGAGAGAAGGCAGTCTGGGACCCTGGGGCCATGAACGGCACAGCAGTAACCTTCTGGGTCATTTCTGCTCAGACAGCCCAGGGGCCGGCCATCTGGAAACCCCACTTCCTCTATGCTGCGGAGACGACCAAGACGTGGGCTCCCCACTCCACAAAAGGTAAAGTGCACGACAGCTCGACTCACCCTGATGTTACCAGGAATGTCGCCACGCCCGTGCAGAAACAAAGGCCCACGAGCACCCCCCCCCCATCCCTGCACAGGCCATTTCCTGAGCCCTCCTCGCGCAGCTGAGACAACGGGGGTGGGTGTGGGTGGTGTTAAGACAGGGATCCCTTTTTTCTTATATAAATTGGTCATTTCATCAACTTTGAAAACAGAACTCTCAACAAGCTGTACAGACATTCATTAATCTTAGGAGAACATATGGTTTCCTGGATGTACAAGTGAGAATTGCAACAGGTTATTTTGGAAAAAAGTCTTAGGTCTCCTGACACCATGAACTAGGCTAGGAAATGTGCTCGCTCTGCAGCCAGTTTACGTGGCGAGTGCGGCTTAAGGAGTTGTGTTAACGCCCTTTTGTAAACCTAAATGGGCTGGCAATAACTTAAGAAAATTAATATTTTGGTGGAAGTCACACTTCCCAGTTCAAAAAAGAAGAAAATGTCATCAGAAATCAACTCATTAGAACCAACTGCCGCCTCGCGTGCTTCCCTCAGAAAAGGCGGCAGAGGTGAAATACGTCACATAAATGAGACACGTTCCAGGACAGACGTGTGGCTGTCTCTCGCCGGGTTGTTGTGTTATACGAGGGAAAACGAAGAGCTCGACTTCCACTGACGTTCACCTTGCCGCCTACGTCTGTCTTCAGAGGACCCATGGCTTCCCCCTCGTCTCAGAAGTGCCCAGCCGGCCGCGGCATTGCAGCTGGGCTGAGCAACCCGCCACTTCTGTCCCTGATCGTTACACGCCCCAAGGCTTTAGACAACACGCCTTTGGTCTTCACACTTAAGGGAAACAAGTATTTGTGATTTTACTTCCGACAGTGTGACAAGCAGATGCCTCAACTTAAGAACCACACAGGCCACTAAATGAAAGAGCGAACGCTCCAGTTAAGAGCTGAGGTGTATCTAGGCTGGATTGTAACAGACTGGAAGCCAAGAGACCAGAAACTTCTAGCTTTTTCGCAGAACCGCATTGCCAAAGAAACCACAGGCCGGTGTGACGACAGCTCGTAAGGATCTGACCGTCCCCTTAGGCCCCACAGTGAACAGCTGGGCTTTGGGCGCCCCCATAAGCCCCCTCCCTGTGAGCTGCAGCTGACAGGTTTCGCCCCCCTGGCCTCACTTCAGCGCACACCTGACGCGGCGTCACACTTCGACCTACTCCAACTACCACACGCCACGTAATGTAGCCTCCAGCAGAAATGGCGGCACATGTGTGAAATGCACGCTGGAAATGGAGCCCGGCTGCCGGGGCAAGCCCCCCTCCATGTCCCTTCACTGCTGAATGTAGCGAATCTGCGTTACTCCGCGACAGCTCACTCCAGTTCACCCCTGCAGCGACCGTCTCAGTGAGGGGGGTCTTGGGAGGGCTGCCAACTCCACCACACGGCGGGCACTGACTGAGTCAAGTGAAGGAAGGTGCAGCAGACCCTTGAACACGGGCTGGACCCGCACAGCTCCACCCGGAAACCAACGTTTTCGTTTTGATCCGCAGTTGGGAGTCCGCGGACGTGGGGGGCCGAGTGTGCACAGACCTCCGCCATTTACATGGGGGCCTGAGCACCCGGATTCTGGTACATGCGGCGGGGGGGTGGGGGGTGGACAGGAACTGAAGCTTTGGGGGAGTCAAGCTGTGTGGATGATCGACTATGCGGGGCTCAGTACCGTGACCCCCAGGTTGTTCAAGGGTCAACTGTGTTAAAGCTGAAAGGTTAAGTCCATAAAGGGACAGCTTCCTAAAAAGTGCAACACTCTCCTCTGTGGCTGTGTCCGGAAACCCCAGATTCATCCCGGGCCCTCCCCGCTCTGGTCCCATGGCCCAGTAGATACTGGGGGGCTTTAGTCTCCCTCCTCACTTGGCACTACCATCCCCATAGTGCCACGACGTCCCCACTGGGTCCAGGGGACCCCGCACGGGAGCCCACGGCACCTCACACCTGGCTGCTCTGAGGGGCTTGGCCATCACGGCCACTGGGCTCTGGCTGTCCCACCACAACAGCGGCCAAATCAACATGGAGGGTCACGGCACTGTTCTCGTGAAGGACAGGAGGAATTGAGGCGCATCAGGGAATCTCCTGAAGGACCCACTGTTCCCAAGCTGCCCCCCAGCCCCCCAATCGGCGCTGCTCCAAAACCTTCTCCCAGCGAAACCCCTTCTAACTGCCTCCGCCCCCGACCGCCCCCATCCGTCCAAGGACCCACGAGGCCAGGTCAGGCGGGACTGCAGCACCTCACGTCCCAGGGCAAAGCTGAGCCGGGTGCCCGGAAGGGGCTTGAGACAGTCGAGCTGCACACGGCACATCTCCCCGGGTCTACTTTCAAATGGAGGAGCCTCAGAAACAGTGACCTCACCACTTGAAGAGCATTTCAGCACTAAAACCAAACACACGCCACACTCTCCGCGGAGGAAGGTGAACTCAGCCCATCCTGGAAAACCAGTGGGAGAGCCACCTACGTCCGAAACCCTCTGGGACAATGAGACAGAGCTACGGACCAAAAGTCAAGTTTCTGCAGGGTAATCTGGACGAGCTGAAGATGCACTTCTGTCCTGGCTGCAGGTCCTCCGCAAACATGGCGGTAAGCCCATCATGTGCGTTAGCTGAGCCTTCACCGAGCAGCAAGCGGGTTAGCTGCTGCTCTGGCAAGAGTGACCGACTGCCAGACACCTGCTATGCTGCGTTCCAAGAAAAGGCTGCACCTGAAAAATATTTACCTGAACTAATAGATCACCACAGGATTTTTAAAAAGAGGGTGGACTTCAGGAGTCCACTGTGGGAAGGATCTCAGGAAAGGCCTTACAATGAATACTACACACTCTAAAGTGATGAAGCTGTAAGTGTGACCACAGAGGGAAACATCCAGAACCCACATATCGAACGAGGGCGAAGAGTGGGGTGCAGCTGAGTAAGAACCAGGAGGGACTGCTGCCAACGTGGGCACAGCCCCCTTCACTTAAACAGGCACCCTCACCATCAGAACACTTTTCTAACCTACATGTTTCCCAGAGCAGACAAGGCAAGAAAATGACAAAGACCCCGTGAGGCAGGTGAAGGACACAGTGCCAGTGGCGAGTCACCACGGGCGCTCTCACCCCCGCTGGCCACCAGCAGGGCGAGAGTGAGGAACCCAGCCTGGGAATACAACAGACGTGACGTGACGCGCCTGATGGCCGAGCTGGACCTAAGGAAAGGGTGGGTCGCGTCCCGCCGAGTGGGGCTGGGACGCCCAGCAAGCTCCGGCAGCTACCTAACAGCATTCACTACAGAGCGGCCGACCCTGACCTCAGCACTCCCGCGTGGGAGGAATGTGAGCTGCAGCACAGAGGTAACCAGTTAAACGGTTGAGCTCCATTAGTGATGCTTTTAGTTCCAGTAACAACACCGAGCAGAAGCCCAGCTCACCCTGCCTTCACCCAGGGAGTCTGTCCCCGGCCTGAGCCCAGCGGCGGGGTCAGCGACAGCTCACCCAGCCCTCGGGGGCAGCTCCATGTCCACTCAGAGGGAACCCTGGCTCCCGTCAGACTCTGAAGTGTCGCTGTGGCCGGGGAAGGCCAGCGGGGTGACTCCAGGTCGGTCACTGCCCATCCCTGAACAGCATCCAGAGGGGAGCCCGTCAGGAACCGGGGCGGGAGGAATGCCACCACCACCAGTGGGCTGCTCGCAGCGCGTGGGTGGTGCTCTCCAGACAGGAGCAGGGGCACGGGCGGAGGACTACACATGTGCACCCCGGAATTTCTGACCAATGGCTGCTCTTCGGAAAACAAAACCTCACCCCTCGTTTAAATCTCAGAGGCAGTCCTACGGTCATTACCAAGTGCTACACGAGGGATGTCCCGTCAATGCAGGGGAAGGGAAGGGGTACACAATGGCAGACGCGCCTCCCTGGCCGCAGCTGCCCTCCACGCCCCTCCCCTTCCTGTTCGGGCAGCGCTGGGCCTAATCCACTCAGATCTCTCTCCTTTATGGCCCTATTTACAAGCTGCCATCGCCACCTGTCTGGTCTGAGCATGGGGCGGGCAGGATGGGTGGGGAGGCCGGCTCCCTGCACCGGCGCAGAGGGCCAGGCAGTCAGGGGTCAGGTCCAGACCCGCCCAGGGCCGTGCTCTGCTGGGAGGGCACGAACCTACGTCAGGGCACGTGTCTGACCAGCAACGGAAACTGCTCGTGGCGGGCAGCGCTGAGCCCACGAGTGACGTGTGCCCCCCTACACACGTGTTGGACATTTCACAGGCTAGACCACGGATCTGTTCCAGCTCTGGAGCCCAAGACAGGACAGAAGAATAAGCAGAAAGGCCCGATGTCTAAGTGGGTGAGCCGTTTCCATGAGATGGGAGCCAGCGCGCTCAGCCAGGACTGGGCACACCCCTAACTGCACAGGCACACGGGGAGGCCGGCCCTGCTGGTTGGCGGCAGCCCAGGCGCGGCGCGCATGTACCTGAAAGAGGAGTGCTCCGCGTGGACCGGCAGGCAGCCGGGGGGCCCGGGGCCCGCAGCGCCCTTCCGGATGAGCTTGCCCGTGTTGGCGTCGTAGATCCGGGCTTCGGGGCCAGGCTGGGCCCTGGGATGGACGGGCGTTGGGTGGAACAAGGTGGTCGGAAGTGCGCCCGGCCTGTCAGGAAAGGCCGTCGGGCCGTCCTCCCTGCGGGGGAGAGCAGGGCCCATGAGAAAATACTGGTCACCCTCCACCTGAGCTGCGAGCCGTGAGGATGAAGACACGGACAAGGCTTCTTAAACCCTAGGGCGCAAGCACCGGGCGCCCAGTGACACTGACGGCACCATGCACAAGGAGCACGTGCCCCACCGGAACGTCAGCGTGGTGTCTGCCGCTTCCGGCACGTCCATCTGACTTTCCCTCTGAACACATATTCAAACCGACTGACAACAGGGAGCACCTCCCACGCCTTTCTCAACAAAACAGGCCCTCTCACGTATTTCTCGCCTCTTTCTTGCCCCTGCCACCTCTGAGGATTTACAACCCGCAGGGTGGAGCCCCCGCCCCTGGTCACCGCTCCCCTGGTACACCAAGACTCTATACACATGCTGTGCGGCTCACTAACTCCCCGCAGCCGTGAAAGGAACACGCGCAAAACAGGATCTGCTGCTAAAAGCCGTCCTGCGTAGCAGGAACACCAGCTGACTTCTCCCCTAGGCAGTAATGGTCACCTATTTAAGACGCCCTGTGTATGGGGAGCCTGGAGGAGCGGTGGCGACGTGGTCAGGGCACAGGCGGGAGGGCTGAAGGGAAGCAGCGACCCACACCCGAGCCTCCCTTTCTCGCCTACACACCGGGGACGGTGAGCCTGGCCTGTGCAATACCGTGCACACAGCTCCGAGCAGAGGCTGGCGGCCGAGGCGAGCTCTCCAGGAGACTGGGCTCGGGCGAGTCGCCAGGGTGGCCGTGGGTTTGCTCACCTCTGTGCCTTGCCGCAGTCGTCGCTCAGCGGGAACAGATGCTCATCCACCTTCTCCCAGCGCTCCAGGCAGCTCCACAGCCAGTCGGGGCTCACCACGTGAAGCCGACCGCACTCTTGGGCCTGGCGCACCTTCTCCGTGCCTATGGTGGAACAGCGGCTCTCAGCTCCATATGCTGCTGTCGAGGGGACCTCGTACTAACAGTGTGACACGCACAGGACAGCCCACACGCACGCGGATGCCCAGACGGCAGACGTGAAATCAGTCAAATTAGAATTTCACCACCACGTGATTAGCAAGGTACTCTCAACAGGCGACAACTCCGGAAGGGGCTTCTGAAAACTCCCGTGGATGAGGAGTCGTGCTTGTTTTCAGGAGTCCCCTCGGTCGCCCTGTCCCCCACCCCCAGGCAGGACCCAGGCAGGTCCAGAGGTGGGCCGGCTGCTTACCGGCACGCGCGGCGATCAGGTGGGTGGCCCGGTCAGGGGCGTCTGGGTCCAGCACCAGCTGAGTGAGGACCTTGGCTCCCAGGGCCGTGGCGTGGTAGTGCTCCCGCGTCTTCTCCACCGGGAAGTTGGTGGGGTGCAGGCCGCTGAATATTACGGCCACGTCTGCCAGCACCCTGCTCTTGAGCTCGGGGACGATCTTCCGGATGTCAGGGGCTTCCTGGGCCTCCCCGCGCAGGTGGCGGTCATACCTGGCGTAGTAGTCGGAGTGTACGCGGGCCAGGATCTCCTCCAGGTAGACCAGGTGATCGTCGGCATCTGCGTCTTCCTCTTCCTCCTCCTCCTCCACGCTCTGGTCCAGGGACTCGCCCACCGTGATGCCCGACTGCTCACTGTTCTGGGACTCGGTCTCAGCCTCCTTCCTGTCGGCACAGCTGCCCCCCAGCCCGCAGAGGCCGTCCCGCTCACTGTCCTCCTGCAGCTCCAGCTGGACACCAGGCACGGGCTCTGAGGAGTGATTTGCCCCCGCCGGCCTTTCTCCACCTGGGCCGGGGGGCCCGCTCTGTGGCACTACCTTCCCGGCGTCCCGAGCAGCCTTGGGCTTTTTCTGGCCCCTCTTCCCCCCAGTTTCGCCATCAGAGGTGACGGAGGACTGACCCTCCGAGTCGCTGCTGCTCTCGCTATCACTGGACAACTCGAAGTCCAGGTCACTGCCCGCCACGCTCTGAGCTGGCCGCTTTTCTGCCGATGTCCGACCGTGCTGTTGTGCACACACCGGGGCGCCCCTCCCATCGGCCAGGGGGGCACGGGCGGCAGGTCGGGCAGCCCTCTCCTCTGCCTGGCCGGGTGGGGGCCAGTCCCCATTGAGCTCCCTCATGGGCTTGCAGAGGCCGTTGCTCTGCTCGACCCCGGCCGCCTGCCTGCCCTCCTCGGGCTCCTTGGCGGAGGGAGCCTGCTCTGCAACATCGGCACCTTTAGGAGGATGGCCGCCTGCACGTGGACACAAAAGGAGAGGTCACCGTGGCTTCTCCCGAAACAAGAAACTGATGTCTAAAGCCCACACAGGATGCACCAATACTGGCTCTGACCACACTGCACGGTGGAGGGGAGAGTACGGGCTCGTGGGCCACACGTGCTCACTTTGCCTGGGTTCTTACAATACTCAAAAACGTACAAAACGCGCAGTCCACAGGCCACGCCGTCGGGCCACACCTTCTATTCGCCTAGACCTCTAGTTCTAGCTCAGTGGCTGCGAGTGTAACTGTGTGCCTCGAAATATTTTATTTAAATATTAAAGGTCACGAGAATCACTTTAAACACAAACTAAATTTTCTTCTGAGAGACATAGACTTCACGCTGCCTGACGGTCTCAGCCACACCACTGGGCAGGTCCTGCGGGTGCAGTGTCACCGCTGAAGCCACAGCCCACATGCCATGTGCGAAGGGACACCAAACGTAGACAACTCCCAGGGTTGTGCTTCCTTTTAAGGAGAACCAGGATGAAGGGCAGTGTTCAGACGTACTGACTTAAGGAGGTTTCTTTACTCATTACTCAACTAGAAAAATGTTCAGGTCAGTACTATAAAAACAACCCCAAACTGAGACCAAATAACACGCTTTTCAGCATAACACAAATAAAGCCAACAACCTAACTACTGAAATACATATAAACAAAAAGAAACAATTTAGAGCAGTCACAACAAAGATAAGAGAAAACAGGCAGGAAAGCAAATGCGACCTTCTCTGAGCACCAGATGGGGGTTACCGACCTTTCTTTCTCGCCTGGGACTCCCGGGACCCAGGGGGAGCATTGATGTCCCCTGTGCCCTGGAAGTAGACGTATTTTTTCACGGTGATCAGATTGGGGGCAAATTTCCAGACATCTTCTCGATCATCAATAATGCAAACCATTGAGTCTCCACAAGGAAATAGATTTCTAGAAGTAAAAACGTATCAGAACTATTAGTACAATTTACAAAAAATAGTCGCAACAGTATTTTATATGTGACCAGCAGACAGAAGGAGACTAATCAGAAACAGATGCAAATGGAAAGGTTTTGTTTACCTCATATTTAACCTGTTTCTAGAGAAAGTAACATTAAAACAGTTTTCTCCACTAATACTTTTTTTTTTTTAATTGGGACATGGGGGTGGGG